AATGACCATATAGTAATCATATAACAAATAATAAAACATAAAAGACTTTTATGGTTAATTAGAGATAAAATTCAATTATGGTTACCCGAAATTGATTTTCATTGTAACATCAGATAAACTTGAACAAAAAAAAACAAGGTTTCTAAATAAAGCGGAAAACAGCGGAAAAATAAATGATTGGTCAACTTAACATGATATGATATTATAATTATAAATAATATGAATGATAATTTTATCATAATATATTTTGTGTCAATAATTCTGCATTAAAAATATTTAGTGCGTTTTTTTTTTTTACCAATTTCTGCTTTTAAAGAATTTTTTCAAAAATTCATATTTGACCAGAATTAGTAATTAAATGCCGGCTGACAATCACAAAAAAATGCACCCTGAATCACATGATACTGCGTATAACCGGAATTATTTTTTACCGCGGATTTACGATTTTTCGTTGAGGTTAGTAACTTTATTTATTATTAATCAATTGTTAAAATATTAAACCAATCCATTTTATTTTCGGGACTTCCCTTTGATTTACAATTTAAATGTTCGTACAAAAGGGGGGGAAAGCATATGTGTTTTCTTTTGATCATCAAATCATTTCGTTTGTACCCGAGAAAATTGATAATGAATCGGTTCCCTTTATTGTTAAAAAACGGTATATTTTGAAAACAAGTTTAAGGTTTATTACTTTTTTTGTTTAGATTCTTATTAAAACGTATTAAAATAAAAATTGGTTCCATATGATTTTCCAAAGTCTTTTGAAGAATCAGGCTTGGTTTTTAAATATTACTAAAAAAAACGAATTATTTATTTATTTATTTATTTATTTTTATTTATTTATTCGGGAAATTTTTAAAGACGCAATTTTAAAAAAATAATATATATATATATATTAGATAATTTCTTATGTGATTAAATCATACACATACATCATTTTAAGCCACAAAATATTAAAAATTGATTTTTTGACAATTTTTAAAACGTGGAAATTTAATGAAAATCATCATCTTTTTGCCTTTGTTCTTTTTTTTTATCCAATAATTTTTTTTTGGATTATCAATTTTTAATTTAACCACTTAAGTTTCGCAAAATTCCGAAAGTACAAAGAATATCCGAAACTTTTTTTTTTTTATATATACATAAAACTTTTTATTACTATTATTATTACTATATTTATTAAATTTATTATTATTATTTTTATTACTTTATTATTATTATTTATTTTTATTACTTTATTATTATTTTTTGTTACTTTGTATTATTTTTATTACTTTATTATTATTTTTTATTACTTTATTTTACTCGTTTTTTACTCTAAAAATTTTTTCAGGTCAATTTCTTAATATATATAACATGTTTTCGATTATCGCGCGCACAACTTGGATTACCTCACCGCCAAATATAGTAATGATGGACCGAAAAAATTTTTTTACGTGTTTATAATAATAAATAAAATATACATATTATATAATAAATTTTACTTTACATATTTAAAAGTATATATATACATGTGTATCACTTGAAATATGATTAGTTAATAATAAAAAAATTCTTGGAATTTACTTGGAATTTTCTTGGAATTTTTAAATAAATTTTAATTTATTTTGATCGTTAATTCGTCGATAGTATAACTTGAAAAAAAAATTATTTATTTATTATTTATTATTGATCTTATTGATCTTTTCCTTTTTTTCTTTTTTAAAAAATATATGAAAAAATAAAAGTGATTGATATAAATAATAAATAATTAATTGGGATTAAAAAAAAAGTATTAAAGTTATTAAAATCATTAAAAATTATTAAAATTCTTATGTAATTTATCCCTAAATGGCGAATCACAGTAAACGTACATATATACATATTTTTTTTTGAGTGCACGAACCCGCACGAACCACACAAACTGATTGTCTTAATTCCAAATATAGAAAGGATAAACAAGGGAAGAAAATTTTATTTTTATTTTTTTTTTTCGTGTTAATACTTAATTGAACGCGGAAAATATTCGGATTGTTTTTTTTTTTTTATTAAAATTTATCATCGATAATCAGATTAATGTAATAATTCCAAATAAAGGAAATAGGAAAGATGATTAATAATAATTAATTAATTACATATCAGATAGGAAAGTAAAAAATGGTAAAAAGATTAAACGGATTGATTTTGTAGGTAAATAAATTCCCAATGACACCTTATGATACATAAGGTAATCCTTTTTTTTTGCTTTTACGCTTTGCGGCGTTTGCGCAAGACTATTAAGAGGATCATCTCAATAACTATAATTGGTTAATGATCTTTAAATTTGTATTTATTCTTGGATTCTTGGAAATTTATTGAACGCGGGGAAAAGCTCGGATTTAAAAATGAGTTATTAATTATTAATAATGTAATCAAAATATAAGGAAAGAAAAAAAATCGATTAATATAAAAATAGTAAAAATTTTTTTGTACGTACTTACGATACATAATACTTTTTTTGCGCACAAACCATTGAGACTTAAACCATTGAGACTTGAGAGGAATATCTTAATATATTATAATATATAGCCTATAATTGGTTAATTGTTTTTAAAGTTTATATTTTTCTTGGATTTTTCTTGGATATTTACTGATCCGCGGGGAAAAGCTCGGATTTAATAAATTGTATATATTATAATGCATAAAAATCCCAACTATAAGGAAAAATGATTAAGAAAAAAGCAATAAAAAAAATTGGTTTTTTTATGTAATCTATCCTGATAGAGAATTTGTTACGTTGAATGCATTTCCCAAAAAATAAAAAACAATCAATTTTCAAATTTGGGGAATTCCGGTTTAGGGGTCATAAAAAAAAAAAAAATTATTATTCCCCTATTTTTATTATTATTATTATTATTTTAATTTTTGAAAGAAGCGATCTTTTTTACCCGACAGAAACAACGAACGGATAATCTTTGTCAAATCATTTTATATGTGATAATATTATGTAATATACATGTGATATACCAAATATATAGATTTTTAATTATTTTTAGTGAAACTTTTTTAAAAAAATATATTAATTAACTTGATATTTTTGAACGAATTATTTGTAGTAGATAATCCTATCATAAGATAAAATTTCATAATATGCATTAAAAAAAAAAGGAACCTGTTTTCGGATGGTCCGAAAAAAAAAAAATGCATATGTTCACACGTAAAGCTACCATGCCACCAAAGCCAAATATGATTACAAATCACAACAAGCCCTTTTAATCCTGTGTTATAAATCACGCCACCTGACTTAAATGTACATCTGGCTGAAAATTTGGAACTAATAAATTGTTTAGATATTTTTATATTGTCTCTAAAGAATCTTTAAGAATTACTAACTTTACTATCAATGAAAGATATCATAGATATGATAGATAACCTAAATAAATAAGTAAGCCTAGTTAAAATTAAAAATATATCGTCGCATATCATTGTAATTCGTTGGGAAATCATTGAAATCCGTTGTAATCCGTTGTAATCCGTTGTAATTCATTGTAATTCGCTGTATGTAATTGTAATACATGTGTATCAAAAGCAGTCAAAATTTATTCTCCGTAATTAAGCATCATGAATAAGCCAAGCCTTACAATATATATGCAGTTGATTAGTTGATTAGTTGATTGATTCGCTATACCGGATATTTTGTGCATCGGACAATCGGGTTTTTAAAAGCCGTATATACAGAATACATCACAAGAAAAAGATATATATTTTTTTTTTTTAAAAAAAAAAAAAAAAGTTATTGTCTCAACTTATCGTAATAATTGTGTTACTGATAAGATTATTTATTTTTTTTTTTAATGGTAATAACAGTAATAGCGGTAATAGCGGTAATAGCATAGTTATATATGTAAATTCATTGAAGTCGTGTTCAATCGATCTATAAAAGGATTTTTAGAATTAAAACCGGTTAAAAACTTTTTTTTTATTCTTGTAGGGTTCGTAGGGTTTATAGAGTTAAGGAATTGATATCATCATATTACATTGCATTGCATTTTTTTAAAATTTTAATATATAATATAATATATTGATATATTATAATAAATTTATTAATATTAAGTAATTAAGTAATTTAGTAAATACTATAACACTACATGTCATCTTTTTCCTGTTAACTAAAATAATAAATTTTCAATGACATAATATATATATATATATTATATATATATATATAACAATCACATTTTTTTTTTATATCACATGCAATTCAGAAAATCATCAAAAAAGAACAATGAATTTCGAAATTTGGTAATCCGAAAATTTTTATATTTTTGAAACGATTTAAGGTGATCTTTAGGGGTCTTCAAATTAGATACTTTACTATTAACAGTCAATGATCGTTGACCAGTTTAAAAAATTTTTTTATCCTTTTTCCGCAGTTTATCATTTCTCTTTTATTACCTTTTTTTTTTTTTTTTATTCGATCGATGCCTAAATCACTTTGCATTATTGTTTTTTTTTATTGGCTAGGTTAATGAAAATAAATGTTGTGTCACAAAAAAAGGATCCAAAATTTTTGATTACTTAATTTTTTAGGCTAACCCGAATGTTGTATTATTGGAATGTTTTTGTTAAACAATTTAAAATCGACCACCGATATTAAGCTTTATCGAGATTTATTTACTACACAACATGAACATATGAATAATATGAACACATAAGTGGTAATAAGTGAGGGTCCGGGACCGGGAAGTTTTAAATGTGGAAAAAAAAAATTAAAATTTTTCAATTTAGGGAAAGACCTCCATTCTTTTCTTTGCCGGTGAAGAATCCTTTGTATATAATATGGTATGTGATATGATTTTTTTTATTTATTTAATATTTGTTCACGTTTAATGTAAATATTGAATGCAGGGTGTAAACCATTTGTTTTTTACGATTTTTTTTTCTTAAAATAATTATATTAATTGACTTTTTCTTTTTTTACTCCACACATCTTATGTACATTCTATATTATCACGTAATTATTGGATTTATTATTTTTTTTTAAAAAAAACATATGTACAAAGAAAAAAAGGGCAAAATTAAAATACAAAATTAATTACAATAAAATAAAATATACTCATATTATATTACTGATTTTAATATTATAATATTACTTCATTGGATTTGGAGGTCTTCCTCATGAAAATATTACTGATTTTCCATTGGATCCATCCCTTCATCATCAGGCCAAATTTCGCCTCTCGAATCATCTCCGTACATTAAACCTGCCTCATCTTGAAATACTGGATCATGTTCAAGTCTGTGAATTCCACCTTCTTCTGTATCCTCTTCCTCTTCACTTAATACTGGACCATCTCTTTCTGGATCACGTGGTGAAGTTGGTGAAGGTGGGTCTTCAGGTTCTTCAGCAGGTTCTTCAGGTTCCTCGGGTTCCTCAGGTTCCTCAGGTTCCTTAGGTTCTTCTCTTTCTTTCAATTCCTGATTATTATCATTTAATGTATCAGTCATTTTTTTAATTAGATCATCCAAAGCTACATCATCCATATCAACATCATTTTTTTCAAATGAGAATTTTTTGTCACTTTCTTTATATGATAAAAGTTCATTTCGAGCAACATTATCATGATCTCTTTTGTTCAATAAATTGGCCATATTTTGAAAACATTTTTCTTCGAGATCCATCGAATCACCAGAAAATTGTTCAATTATGACATTATTATCAGGCATTAAAGAAGGGCAACAAATTTCCGCTTCATTATCCCAATAATAATCCAATTCACCATCAACAGGATTTTGACAAAATATTATACCATTATTTAATAATGAGGTATCAACTGAATCATCAGCCATAGTTGTTTATTTGTTTGTTTGGATAATTAAAGTATCGAAACTTTTGATCTTTTGATCTTTTGATCTTATGAATCGGAGATTCTTTTTTTTTGTGAACTAATAATAATTTGAAGAGGGAGAGAAGGGCAATTTATAGTTACTTTTATAATGCTTAATGATGATTTTATGACGTTAAATGATTAACGCCATTTTTAGTATGTCAGGTGAAAACTAAAATGATCACGTCACCTTTTCAAAATCAGCCCATTTGTGCATATTTAGAAAGAATATTCTTTTTAGAAAAATCACGATGCAACAAATAATAAACAATAATTTTATTCAAACAATAAAAATTGAGCTATGCCATAATTTTGTAATAAAAGTATCCATAAAATTAATAATAAAAAAATGAAAAAAAAATTCATAATATAATATAATATAAAAACCTTTCAAAAAAAAAAACCGTTTTTTTTTAACCCCCGAGTGGTACACCGTATATCCATTAAATATTTGATCTTTAAACCTTGTGTAATTGTCATATATATATGTATATGTATATGTATATATGTATATATATATATATAAATATATCTCCGTTTTTTTTTTTTTAAAAAAAAAAAAAGAATTCAGGATCGTCCTTCAATAAAAAAAGATTTAAGAAAAACTGTCAAAAATTTAATTCATGCAAACTTTTATTGGTAAAAAAAAAAAAGTTTTTTATAAAGATTTTCATTATTACTTAACCAAGAAGGAAAAAAAAAAAAATTGTATTTTTTTATAAAAAGAATTCTTTTTAGCCAAAGGTATCACAATAATACTTGGCATGATTATAGTTATTGAATTGCATAAATTGCATAATGATTAACATAAATCCATTTTTTTTTTCAAATGAAATCATAAAAATATAGGAAAAAAAGATTTTGGTAGTGTAACATGTACGGTATTAAAAAAGTATTGTAGATCCAAATCCCGTATAAAAGTCCGAATATAAAAGAGTTAATTTGAAGATCTAAAGAAAAAAAAAATAAAATAAAAAAGGGGATTTTATATAATTTAATAATTTTAATAATTTGTCAGGTTGATCAATAATTCAAATTATTATGTAATTTGATTTTTTTTTTATTAAGTTCAAAAAGTTAATAAAGTTAATCAAAAAATGTAAAAATCAAATTTTAATCACCAAAGAAACTGAGTGATGAGGATTTTTTTTGACGGCTGGCTTACAAATCCAAGATCTGCATCATGTGAATCATTAAACTCTACATAATTTTCACTTTAGTGAAACACAACAAATAAGTCTGGTATGGCGTCCAATGCGTCTAATATACCCAAATGTTTTTTTGACAATTTAATCCTTAAACAAAAAAACCCTGGCTTGTTAATAACCTTATGTTGTTTGTTTGACGAGACAAAACAGCCACTATCTGCTATATGAATCTCTTGAGGCGTTTATTATATATTATATATATATATATACAGTAGGGATTGTACGAAAATAGATTTTTTCATTTCGTTATATGCATAATAGCATAATAGGCATAATATGAGAATAGAAAAATAAAAATAGTATTATATAATATAATAAACATGTAATTATAGTTCTTGCTAATCACATTAATGTCACGAATTGCAGCATTGTTTTCAGTAGTCAGCATTTCGTAAGCAAAAACAAAGAAAAAAAAAAAAAATGAATAGAAAGGGACTCATCTAAAAAAGAAAAAAAAAATTTTTTTTTTTTTTTTT